CAAGCCTGGCGAGGAGGAGGATGAGGAGGTGTGGGAGGATGGAGACAGCGGCCACCAAAGGCTGGGGAAGGCCCAGCTCCAGGTAGGAGATGCTGTCTTCCAAGGAGAGGGACTTGTCTGTCCCACTGGAATTTGAGGTGTGAGGCCAATGGAACAAAGGGGTTGATTCCATTTTCTCACTCAGGCTCTCATGTGCCTTAGGAGGTATTTGTGGGAAGGTCATTATCCCTGATGGAATCTTTGGAAAACAGGGATTGAATCTTTCTGAAGTGACCCAAACCAGCCTGCATGTATCCAAGTGCAGCCCCAATCCCTGTTTTTGTGTACAGCTGGAATGAGACCTCAGCTGCTGGTACCTGCCAGCTCACAGGTTGTGTAGCTCAGAGTCTGCAGCCCTCGAGGGCCAGGGTGTGTTTAAACAGAGAGCAGAGAGTGGAGTCATTTCCTAGCAGGGAGCTTGACTTGGAAGCTGCATTCCAGACTTTTGTCCACATTTATTTTATCTCCCACATGGAATTGCCTGAAGAAGCAGAGGTGTGTTCCTAACAAAAGAACATCCCAGTTTAGTGGTGGTAGAGGGCTTAAAATTAAAGTGTGAGTGGAGGTGCCTTTAGGGCACTTTAAATTCCCATGCTGTGGCACTTGGACACACATCCCTGATTATATATTATATATAATATATTATATATAATATATAATATATTATATATTATATAATATATATTATATACTATATAATATATATTATATATTATATAGTATATATATTATATATTATATATAGAGAGAGAATTATATATTTACGGTAGAGAATCTATATTACGATTTTCCTCTGATTGATCCTTTCACAGGAATTTTCCTGGGCATATTTGAGAGTTATGCAAGATTTTTAAAATAGTTGAAAATCAGAGGGGGAAAACTGTGAAGCTGATCCATTTCTAGTAATTCCAAACTTCTCCCACAACACCATTCTGGGGGAAACCTGGTTAGGGGACAGAGATGCAGAGGAACAAATGCTGTAAACTCCCCTTGGCTCTCCAGCAGAGCAAACCTTCCAGTAATCCCAGCTGATGTCTCTGATAAACTGTGGGATCAAAAGGATTTGCAGGAAAGCTAAACAAGGACAGAGATGAGGGAATAAGCTTCCAATTTAATAATGATTTTATGAATGAAAGAATGATTCTTGTATGTTGGATGCTTCATCTTATATATCTGAATAATTTTGAAATGGCTCATTTAATAAATCATCTAAATTTGGGAATTTAAATTTGAGAGGAAACAACACAAAATGAATGCAGGGAGAGACTGTGGAATCATCCTGGAACGGTTTGGCCTCGAAGCCTCATCCCTGAGCCTGTCCTGGGCTGGCTCCTGTCCTTCAGCCACTCGCTGCAGGTGGAAGGAAGTGATGGAGATGTGCAGGGAATGCTGCTTGGTTTTCCCTGCCTCTGGCAATCTGGCCATTCAAAAGACTAATTGAGCTCTTCCAGCAGGGAAACATTTAAACAAGAGGTGCCAAAAAGAATTGAAGCTTCTGCACAATGAAATCTGCAAGAATCCAACTTCAAATCCTCCTGGATTGTCACCGGTCCAACTTCCATGGACTGGTCACCGTGGCCAGGAGTGTCCAGTCCTGCTGGGAATGCACTGGACCAGGATGTCATTTTCACTTTATACAGGTAAAGACCCTCTGGGTGACCCCCAGTCACTGGAAGGACCAGACTGGGCTCCCAGGGCACCAATTCCAGGGGTTCTATTTTTGGGAATAGCACAGGAGCCGTTCCCTTGCCCAGAGGAGCAGCAAGTGCCTCAAATCCCCAGGATGGACCACAGAGAAAATAGCAGGAATATGGAAATCCCCCACACTGGGAGTTTGTGGTGCTCTGGATTACATTTTGGATTTATAATGTTAAAGGGAGGCTCTGGAATGGCTTATCTCCTTTTTATTTTTATTGTTCTCACTGCTCTTGTTGCTGTTGCTGTCACTGTTATTATGTGTTGTCATGAATACTAAATGANCCGTGGGTGGCTCCAGCCAGGTTCATGGCCAGCAGGACACTGGGATTCGCCGGCTCCTCATAATTTACAGATTCCTCCATGCGCTGGAGCAGCTGGGAGACCTTATCCTGCGGGGCCACTGGAAAGAGGGGGAGGTCAGTGGGATCCCATGTCCCATCCGTGGTCTCTCCTGGTTCTCCATGGGTGGCTGCCACTCACCACAGTCCTCGGTGGCTGTGCAGCCCAGCAGGGCCAGCAGGACCCTGATGCCCAAAGCCACGCCAAGCATCCTTCTGGAGCCAGCTGACCCACTCAGGGTGGCAGAGTCCTGCAGGAATTCGGCTCTCTGGGCGTCCTCTCCGCTTTTAGCTGTTCCCAGTGTCCTTGTCCCGTCACCTGCCCTCCCCCAGCTGCCCTGGCTCTGCCAAGCTCTGCTGGCTTATCTGTGTGTCCAGCGGGGGAGGAAGGGCGGTGATTTTCCATTTGCGATCACTGGGGACCACTTGGACCACTTCAATATCCATGAGGCTGTGATGTTGGATGGGATTCATCCCACTATGTCCCAGAAGGAACCACCTCAGTCTTCCACCCAAGGTCCTGGAAACCTGAGGAGCTCCATTGCTGGACATTCTCCAGCTGTACCCCGCTTGGACTTTTCCAGGAAACTCCAGCCTGGGTAATGTAACTTCAGTGCCAGGAAAACTGGTGGAGAAGGTCATACTGGGCCCTGCTGGGAAAGCAATTCAAGGACAGTGCCTGCCTCAGGCACGGGCAGATCAGGACAACAAGAGAAATTCCCGTCTAACTGGTTTCTTATCCTGCTGCCATAAGGTCTCCTGGCTCAGAGGTGATGGGAAGGCAGAGCCTGTTCATTTTTGCGATTGTAGTAGGAGTTTTGGCCCTGTCCCTCACAGAACCCTTCTGGAGGAGTCCAGCTGTGAGACGAGCAGGGACAGGGTGTTCTGGCTGCTGTGCTGGATGTAACTGGGATAGGGAACTTTTTGTTTACTGCATTTGGATTCAGGATGGTAACGGTGCAGATAACACATGGGAGGTTTGGTGGTTGCTGAGCGGGGCTTGCCCTCCTCAAGCACTTTGCAGTGTCCCCTGGGACAATCCAGGACGAGGCACCATCCTCAGGGACATTCCCTGTGCCTTCTATGGGATGGGGGACTCTGGAGGCTGATGGTGTCACTTGGCACAACCCATTGTGGTGGAGGACCCGGTGAGTGAGGGATGAGAGGGCCCGAGTGAGATCCCTCCAAAAAAGGGAGGTTACAGCCCCAAAAGGCCTGAAAATTCATGGAGGGTTTGTGTGTAAAATACTGGAAACAGCAAATATCCCCATTTTTGTATATTCTGAGAAATTTTGATGCATTCAAAAACTGATTCCGAAATAAAAGCCTGTGTCTGCTGTGTTATAGACAGGATATAGACTGTAAGGAATTCTGGATACGGAGCTAGAGGCTTTGAAAACACAAACACATTTCTGCATCCGGGGCCGAGGCCGGGGCTGCTCCCGGAAGGAAACGCGGCAGCCCCGGGAG